ACAGTAATATGTTCCTTACAGTCTCCTGTTACGATGGCTTGTCTCCCTAGAGAAGACCTAAGATCCACATGGGCAGGGACTCTGTCTGATTTACTTACTACAGTATCCTCACTAACTCACCTTGGACAAAGTGGGTGATCAAATAAATATTTGTGGAATTCATTACTAAGCTTGTATTAGTCTGGGTACTTTAGAGAAACAAATCCACAGAAACTCATGTATAAGAGAGAGTTTTATATAAAGGTTAAGTGCACATCAAAAAAACATCCCAACCCAGTGTTGCCCAAGCCCACAAGTCCAACATTAAACCATTAACCCATATGTCCGACACCAATCCACAAAGTCCTCCTCCATCTCACAAAACACACACTATGACACTGACTGCAGAGGGAAAGCCTTATCAATGAACATGTCAGCATCTCAGCTCTGGCAGGGGGTCTCCACATGGGTGCTCCAGCACCCAGAGCTGCATTGGGGCAGGTCCATGTGGCTTCTCCTCAGGGATGTCTTGCAGAAGGTGAGCCTTGCCAGCTGAAGCAGGGAACTGGCTAAGGAAGCTGCACCCTGGTCCGACCATCACAAAGCAAGAGACCTGAGAACTAGAAAGGTGAGGCTCACTGAGCCATTTCTTTCTCCGCCCTTCAATTAACCCCACATGTGTTTAATCAGCCAGGTTGGCACAATAAACTAACTCAAAGCTAATAAAGAAAGAGAGGAATTTTGACCAGGGGGTGTCCTTTGAAATGCAGCACCAGTTCCGCTCCCTCCTCTCCATGATTGGCAGAGCACATGGGGCAATCACTCCTAATAGAATCTGCAGGGCACAACTGAACATCATCTTCCAGCTTCAAATATGAAAGGCTAGGAAAGCCTGTTGGCAGACAAGGGCTTTAGACTCCTCTGGCTCTGAAGCGCTAAGGCTCCAAGACAGCACTCTCTGTTCATCAAGTCCCCAGCCTGAGGCTGGACCCTTGGAAGACGGGATGAAGATAACAAAGGCTAGGAAGGCAAAATGAGATTGTTGGAGGCATTGAACACCCTGAGAAAGATCCTGGGCTTGCTCTTGTGGGAAAGTAGGGCTGCCAATGGGCCTTCAGACAAGGGCTGTAGTTTTTTTCTGTGCTAGCGCCCCAACTCTAATGGCAGTGCGGGCCTTAGAGGTAACACTTTGGAGGTGGTTAGAAGACTCTGGTCCTCATTAAGCAAATGTTTATCAGGGTCTGCAGGAAAGGCATGAAGAGCAAGGCACACATTACGGCACAGGTTGAAGGAACAAGCCACAGAAGCCGCTGTGATTAAATAAAGGCAATGAAGAAGGAGACAGGAAATGCATTTCAGAGGTCTCTTTGTCAAGTGAAATGTCTTGGTTTGGACAATAAAGGATAGGGTCACCTCACTATGGAGTGTTTGCCCTGCAAACAGTAACGGTAGATTTTTACTTGCCCAGTTGGTCCCAAGAAGAGGAGTAGAGGGCTGTGGTTTGGGCCCAGACAGCTAATACACAGTGTTGTCACTAGAGCGTGGACACCAAAGGACAGAGAGAGTGACACCAAAATGACTGTCTATAAAATTTTTGTCTAGTCCATCAGAATTTTTTTTTCATAAAATAGTCCTCCAGTTAGATATAATAACAAAAACATTTTTCCTAGACCCAGGTTACATGTAATAATATACCTACAAGCTTGAAACGCTATGCTCATTTACTTTTTAAAATTAAGAATGTGCTCCAACACAGAAGCCCTGGTGGCATCGTGGGTTACACATTAGGCTGCTAACCACAAAGTCAGCAGTTCTGACCCACTAGCCGCTCCATGGGAGAAAGATGAGGCTTTCTATTGCTATAAAGAGTTTCAGTCTCAGAAAGCCAAGGAGACGGTTCTAAGCGGTCCTATGGGGTCACTATGAGTCAGGACTAGATGGCAGTGAGTTTGATGTTTTAGAACGTGCTCCCGCCAGAGCTGCCACTGCTACCCAACTCCAACGTCACGTTTTTCATGTGCGTTCCTCTCCACAGGACAAAAACGAGCACCGTTGTTCTCGTTCCTGCTGGTATTTTTATAAACACGTATTGTGTCAAATTCTCTGTGTCAAATTCTCTGCTACACATTCTAGTGATAGTACGCTGCTAACTAGCGTTTGTGACCCTATATCAAAACTTTTTCTGAGACTGCAGGGTTAATTAAAGAAGGAGGGAAAAAAATTAAAGCATCCAGTAAGTTGCTAATTATGTTGTAACTAATGACATTGTAATTCAATAGAGAAAGATTTCACAGAACAATTTTGTTTGCATTCATACATCTAAGAAATGTTACATTTAAGTAGTTTGCAGTTATGCTACCTATCATAAATGTTGCTTGATTAAAATGGACACTAATCATGGGAACACCTGGTCTGCAGAAAGCTGGGGGCGGCAGCGGAAGGCCACGTCCATTTATAACGCCCGCCCTCACGTGCATTAAGCTTGGGTGAAGCCCATCCAACCATAGGCGAGGGATGTGAATAGCCTCGCTATCAGACAGAGCATTGCCACGTCAATTGTGGCAGATGTAGCTAGGTTAAAATCTAATACCTTACCATTTAATCTCCCTACCTGTCCTATAGGGTCACGATTAGTTGACAGTAAAGTTGTCAATTTTAAAATATTGTTTGCTTTCTTTTTTTTCACAGTTTTATTGGCATATAGTCCATATATAATATAATTCAAGAATTTGAACGTATCAAGAAGGGTAGTATAATCACAACCACAATTAATTTTAAGCATTTTCCTCTTTCTTGTACTCAGTTATTAGCTCCCCCATTAACCAGCGACCTGCTCTGCCACACCCCCAAGAAACCACTTATGCGGTCACAGTCACTATAGATGTACTATCCTGGATTTCCTATGTGGAACTGAGATTTTTCGATGTTTAATCCAGGCAATGTTGCTGATTTTTGTTTGTTTACTTCCTATCTGTGTGTCATATGATTTTCTGTATATGAAATCCAGTACAGGTAGATCTAGAGACAGTAACTGGATTGATAATTGCCTACGGGCATAGCAGGGGAGGATGGAGGGGAATGGAAAGCTAAACAACAAGGAGAAGGAGAAGGAAATGTTCTGGAATTGATTGTGGTGATGATTACACAAATCTCTTAATATGATGGAATGATTAAATTGCATTATATGCGAAGTATATTCCAATAAAATTACTTTTGAAAATAATCTCTACTTACTGGCATATATAAAAAGAGATTGATTTGAAATTGGAGATATATGCATGTTCCCTAAATAAAAAAGATTCCATTCTTTAAAAAAAAAATTCTGTATGGTCTAATATGAGGGGGTGGTACCCTGAGTTAGCACCTGGGGTGACACCAGCCACACTGGGATGCTATTGCTAGTACCAAAGCCTTCCATTATAGATATGTGTATGTATGCATATGAGTGTGTATACATGTGTATGTCTATACATATATATCTATACAGGTTACATGTACATGTATGTATGTACACACACACACATACACTATAGGGAAACACCTACAAAAAGGCTCTAAGCTTTCCTGGAGTACTCCGAGGGAATCGCTGAGCAGAATTAGCAAAAGCAATAAGAAATCAGAGGGCTTTCACCTAGTCATTAATTAAACTATTCTTGTAGGTCATCAAATATAATTAGTGCTTTGTCAGCTATTGCAAATTGCTATTCAATTTTTTTAAACCAATGATTCTCAGGAGAGAAGGTTGTGCAGCTATAAAATAAAGAAATACTTTGTACCAAAGATTTTAGTCAAGGTACTTAATATATCCAAAATATCTAGTAATATTTTTAAAAGGTGTAAGTTTTTATATTTATCAAAGAGACCAAATCTGCTGAAGTTTTTTGAATCATTAGCATTGTTTTTCTGTTAAGCACAGACTACATCCTGCAAGAGTGGGTGTAAAATAGGGAAGAAAGAAGGGAAAGAAGTTTACAGTTATAGTCTCCACTCATTTTCACGTACTATGTTTGACACTTTAAATATTATCACATTTAATCCTCAAAAGAACCCTTGGGTTAACAGATTTTTAACTGAAACTTCTTGTATTGATTTTCTTTGACTGCATTAAAAAAAAAATCACAAACTTAATGACTGAAAGCATTACCCAGTGATAACTTTCCTATCTCTGTGAATCAGAATTCCAAACCGCAATCCTGGTGTCAGCCAGGGCTGCATCCTCACCAGAAACTCTGTGGGGAGGAAGGGGGAACTTCTGTGCGCAGAGTTAAATGTCTTGTGGCTGTAGAATCCATGGCAACTGACTTCTTCCAAGCCAGAAGAGGACGGTGAGCCGGAGAAAGAAAGAGACAGAAGGGGAGACACAGAGAAACTAGGAAGACCGGTGCTGCACTCTTAGTAATTACATACTTGCCCTCATCTTCACATCCTGCCATAGCAAGCGGATTATACCAAAGGAAAAACCACCCAAGGCAGGGACAAAGTCTGTCCTTCCTACTGACAGCAGTTGCCATTAGGACCACTCCAACTCACAGCGCCCCCATGCGTTTCAGAGGAGAACTGTGCTTCATGGGGTTTTCAAGGACTTGTTTTTGTGGATATAGATCACCACGTTTCTTCTGAGGTGCCTCCGCATGAATGTGATCTTCGAACCTTTCAGCTATTAACTATTTGCACCACCCACTAAGCCAGGCTAACTCCAAGCTCATACAACCAGCAAGTAGTAGTGCTGTTATAAACTCCACAGCTCACATTCCTGGATTATACTCCAAGCTCTACCTGGACCACCTGATTTCGCTCGGGCAAACCAAGTTGCTTTGCTTACAAGAGAAGTAGCTGCATCCAACTGATCTTCATGGTCCTTTCCATTGTGACCTGCTGTGCTTCTGTATTCCGTACAAGTGGCAGGCCAGGTCAATGGAGCCTCCATACCTCATTGTCAGGGAGGTGGGAGTGATTGGCTCTCTGTCTTCCTAGCAGAAATCCACCAGTCACATTAATATTGTCTTTGGTCCTTTCCACAGCGTCATCTATGGAATTGTGATCCGGACTATTTGGATTAAAAGCAAAGCCCATGAAACAGTGATTTCCAATTGCTCAGGTAAGTGTCTAATGAGCATTGCCCGACTCTTGCCTAATTTGCTTGTGCAGTGATTTTCGTCTAATAAATTTGAACTCAAGCTTCCTGGAAGCCTGTCCTGCATCAGGCCCAGCAGACGGAAGACTCTCCCTGAAAACCAGGAGAGGGAAGGAATGATTAAAGTTGTCCAAGCTGTGCCCAAAGCGCAGCCTGTGAGCCAGGATCTGAGAGTCCGCCTCTTTCCAATCATGTCTGAGGAACAGCTTGGAGGACCCAAGATGGAAAGGCGCTCAGGGAAGCACCGAGCAGCCAGAACAATAGTAGGCAGACATAGCTATTTGACTTAGCCCTACGCAGCAAGTCTCCCCCACAGGCTTATGGGCCCTACATCCGTCAAGGCATCATCCACACTTCCCCACCACTGCAGCTGACCACACGCCACGCACTCCTGTCCCCATTCCACTTCAGTAAACCTTTCTATAGATCGCCTGCTGGGCAACCAGGCATAGGCACCTGCATGCCTGGCCTGCTTCCCAGGGAAATGTTAGTGGGCCTGACTGAGGCCAACCTGAAGAAAACGCAGCCAACTAAAGGGATCCTAGGTTTCCAGGTACTGCCTCCAGCCTTCTGATGTTGTACCCGCCTGCCTTGCGCCAGCTGTGGCTGCAGAGGTCTAGTTCATAGGGAGGGGCTGTGGTGGCCCCCAGCCCAGGAATGGAATAAGGGCATAGAGCCCAGCGGGGGAGAAAAGAGGAATTGGGGATGGGGGAGAACAACCCCCACATTTTGGTCCCAGGAGAAAAGAAGAGGCTGGCTGGTCGAGTTTGGAGGAACTTGGGGTAGGGTCTGGGGATATATTAGGAAGTATGGGGGGAGGCCAACACTGGAAACCTCCAGAGGAGACAGGCCAGGGGATGTCGCTGCTAAAAACAAAGCATTGGGGGCAACTTAACTATTCACGGAGGGCTGGGAGTGTGATGGGCAGGCTCAGAGGGTAGCAGGTCATGCCTGCCCGAGACGCCCCGGTTGCAGCCCATCTGCCACCCTGTCACACTCTTGCCCTGTTGCAGCTAGTTGTCTAAGAAGTTCCGCAGGTTCTCCTTGGATTTCATAGGAAACTAACTGGAGTCCCCAGAAAAGAGCTCATCTTGCCAGGCTGCTGCCAGTCCACCTCAATTCATCAGTGTCCACTGTCCACAGGCCATGGTCTTCGCTCCCCAGAAGTCCCCAGTCTGGGAGATGGCACTAGTACTGTTGGCTCTAGAGCTGGCTGCTTCTGCTCCATCTGCTGGAAGGCCATGGTTCTGCCTCTGCTCCACCGAGGCCTGGGCCCCGTGGTGCAGCGCGAAGGAGCGCGCAGAGCACGCACCATCACTAGTAATCCACAGGTCCGGGCTGTGCTCCAGGTCTGAATCGCACTGTTTCTCAATCTGCTGCCGCACCTCCCGGCTCGGGGCAATAGGCAGTTCCCCCGTCGGGCATTCTGAATGATAGTGGTGGCTGTGGGGGACGGACGAGTGCACACGAATGTTCTTTGATTTCTTGATTGTTGCATCCAAGAACCTGGACTGTGGATGCATGCCAAATGAAATCTTTGACAACGTCAACCTTTTGTCCATCTGTCCTGATACTGCCCATCAGAGAAGTTGTGAGGATTTTCGTTTTCTCTACACTGTGTTGTAATCCATACTAAAGCCTGCAATCCATGATCTTCAGCAGCAAATGCGTTAAGTCCGCGCTTTCAGCAAGCAGGGTCATGTCATCTGCATAGTTCAGGCTTTTCATGACCGTTTTCCAATCTTTATGTCACATTCTTCTTCATATAATCCAGTGTGTTAGTCTGGGTACGTTAGAGAAACAAATCCACAGAAACTCATATATAAGAGAGAGTTTTATATAAGGTTAAGTGCACATCAAGAAAACATCACAACCCAGTGTTGCTCAAGCCCACAAGTCCAACATTAACCCATATGCCCAAACACCAATCCACAAAGTCCTCCTCCATCTCACAAAACAGACGCAATGATGCCGACTGCTGGAGGAAAGCCGAATCAGTGAGCATGTAAACATCTCAGCACTGGCAGAGGTCTTCACACAGGTCCTCCAGCACCCAGGGCTGCATCAGGGTAGGTCCATGTGGCTTCTCCTCAGGGGATGTCTTGCAGGAAGTGAGCCTTGCCAGCTGAAGCAGGGAACTAGCTAAGGCAGCTGCAAACTGGGTCTGACCATCAGAAAGCAACAGACCCAAGAACTCGAAAGGTGAGGCTCACCGAGCCATTTATCCTGCCACCCTTCAATTAACCCCACATGTGTTTATCAGCCAGGTTGGCACAATAAACTAACTACCTTACCCAGCTTCTGAATAAATATGAGAGGGTACAAACCCGAGACATCCCTTTCTTGATTGTAAATCATGCAGTATCCCTTGTTCTGTTCCCACAATGGTCTCTTGATCGACTGCAAGTTCTGCATGAGCACAATGAAGTGTTCTGGAATTCCCATTCTTCTGAAGGCTATCCATAGTTCATTATGGTCCAAAGGATCCAATGCCTTTGCATAATCAATAAACACAGTAAATATCTTTCTAGTAGTCTCTGCTTTCAGCCAAGATCCATTAACATCCACAGATCAGATCTCCAACAACAACACCCACAAAAAAGCACTAAATACTACAATTGCTGGAAAATGCTTTTCCTATAATAGAATCACATGAGCACGAGACTCAGATAGGAACTCTAAAGGAAACCTCAGAGACTGTGTCTGTACTGAAGTATTTCCATTTGAGAGGGAGAGACAGAGAAGGTGAGAGGTGAAGGTGGGGGCAGGGGGGGGGCGGACAATAAAGCTGTAAAAGAGTCCGGATACTCTTCAGTGAAGGAGCCAATGCAACAATTCTATCATCACCCATCGAAGTAAGCAGCTCTGTCTAAACCTAAAGGTGTGGCTCCAATACACCCAGCCCCTTCAAGGGAGAGAGATTGAGATCCATAAGGATCAAGCCACCTCCCTCAAGTCTATTCCAACCCAGGAAGACCCCACAGGGCAAAGTAGAACTGCCCCTCAGGGTTTCTGACACTGTGCATCTTTATGGGAGTAGAACAGCCTCCTCCTTCTCCCTCAGAATGGCTGGTCCATTTGAATCACTGACCTTGTGCCTAGCAGCCCCCAAATGCTTCATCCACTGTGCCACCAGGTCGCCTCGCATAAAGATTATAGTCTAGGAAACCGCATGGGGCAGTTCTACTCTGTCACCTGGGGATACCGTGAGTTAAAATGGACTTGACAGCACCTAATAGGAGCATATGAATATAACAGCTCTCACAGTTACTGTGTAGAAACAAACAAAACACCTTTGGTGTCTAGTCTATTGTGACCCATAGCCACCCAATGTTGCGGCGGGGGGCGGGGTTGTTAGGTGCTCTCCAGTTGGTTCAGACTCACAGCAAGCCTATGTCCAACCGAACAAAATACTGCCAGTCCTGTGCCACCCTCGCACTTGCTCTTCTGTTTGAGCCCATGGAGGCCGCCACTGTGTCCATCCGTCTCATTGAAGGTCTTCCTCTTGTCCTCTGCCCTGCTACTTTACCAAGCATGGTGCAACTGCTTCACCGCTTTTTCACAGCTGTCAATCCTTAGGGAAGCCAACTCTGCCCTGTCCTCAAATCTCCTCTGCAGACCCTCCCATCATGTCTGAAATGCACATCATTAGAGCTGATCCTTTCCATTAAGACGGGTCTCCCAGGAGAATTATATGTTATCTGGACCAGGTAATGCGCACCAGACAGGCATATACTGAGTCAGTTGTCACTTAGCAAAGCCTATGGCGATGGGATCATGGTGGGCAGGTCAAGTATAGTGGAACCAGAAGGTTTAAGGAGTCCAGAGTTTTGGGCTGAGGTGAGAAAGAGGTGTCAAAAAGTGGGGAGGTGGGGGTGGATCAGAACAGACAAGACAGAGAGACACATTGAACATGTCAGCCATTTCATAGTCCTGTGAATATGTTATCTTCTTCAATCCTTAGAGCAACTCTGTAAGTTCGTATTCTTTTCTCTCGTGTTAATAGGAGGCAGGCTCAAAGGTTAAGCTGTTTCCATGTTTCTATAGGGAGCAAGTAATGCAACCAGGACTCACACGCACATCTGATTGGCCAGAAAATCAATGCTTCCTCTCGAAATCAGGTTGCCTCCCAGAAGACATTCTAGAAACAAAGGCCATGGTTGAGCAAACGAAGAACTCAAGATGGAAAAATTAAAAACCCAAATTCAAGTTAATGGCCTCACCACCTCTCTGACATATTCTTCCTAGCACTCTGCCTGTAGAACACAATCCCAGCCTCATTTTTGGAAGAGCTGGCCTTGATTTATTTAAAAGATGGCACGTTACCAGTGTGTGCAGCCTCCCATTTTGTTTCCGTCACCCGAGGTCTTCCTGAATGTGTTTCATAATGTCAATCCGTCCAACCAGTTCGCATTCTACCCTCTGCTTGATCTCTTTGAACCCCTCCCCGCCCAACCCTCCCTGTCTCAGCAATTCTCTTTTCTCCACTTCTGTTACAACCAGCCATGGGCCTCCATCCCATTGCCCCGCATTTTCCCAAGGCCCATTCACCACAGTGAGTGAAACAGACATGGCTAAAGAGGTGCAGCAATAGGAGGGCTTTCGACTCTCTGGTCTCCAAACTCATCAACTACCCTACCACCCACCTTCTCAACAGAACTCTCATCTCTATGCTTAGGGACTCTCTCACCAACATCCTCTCATGTTTCCTGGCTACTAATCATCCAATTCCTGTGCTCTTGGTCTCCTCTTTCCACCAGTCTCCGAAATGGAACAAAACCATTTAGAGATTTATTTTCCCACTGGTATGTAGTATACCATTACCCCTCCATAAAATGTCTATATATTCACATCGCCACCCATGACCTCCTTTTGGATGAGGGGCAGCTGGTATTTTCAAAAGCCCAATCATTATAGATTCATAAATGGAACTCACTCGATTTTTTTCTATCCCTCACGACAGC